TTTTTTTCTATTTTGTGGGCGGGCGTATTGAAATTTCTCAGATAATTTCTGTGACTTATATTTATTTTTGTGACATCCAGCCTTATTAACAATGTGAGACCTTCACGATATTCAGAGACAGACTCTGGTTGCTAATCCATCTGTGCTTCTGCCCTGCGTCCAGGTGTTCCACAGTCTGTTCTGGCCTCTGGAGTTCACTGTTCCTGGCAGGGACAACAACAAGAGCTACGCCAAGGTCATCTGCAATAAACTGAACAGGGTGAGAGAACATGTGCTTTGTGAGGTCACAGTCAGGGCTGATCTGAATACAGTTGACGTACTGCAGAATCTTTTGTACACGTACAATAAATCAAATAAACACACACATCTTGTTCTTCTTAGGATCAAGTGATTGGGTTCCACTACCTGGGTCCTAATGCGGGGGAGGTGACACAGGGCTTCGGTGTAGCCATGAAGTGTGGCGTTACCAAGGAGCAGCTGGATGGAACCATTGGTATTCACCCAACATGTGCTGAGGTGAGAACAATGTTCTACAAAAGCTCTGAAATACACAGCTGTTCCACACCAAAACTGACTTGTCAGTATATTAATGAAGGCAGATGAACTTATTATCGTGGTAACACATACATCAACAATTATTTTATTGCCCATTTTTCTATAAAGATTGAGAAAAATGAAGACACCACACCAACACAGCTTGCTGCTGTAAAAGTTGTAATGTATGCAAAAAATATATAAATACAGAGGTTTAACTTAAAAGACAAACACATGTCAGCTGTCAGGTCTACGTGCTAGTGTAGGTAAGAACCTTGTTACTGGAGTTCACCTCCTGTGTGTATAAAAACAGACGAGGCTGAATCCCAGCTGCTGTCTGACTGACTTGTCTCTTGTCTCTGTCCTTGTCTTTTTAGATCTTCACCACCTTGGAGGTGACCAAGAGGTCTGGTGGTGACATCACCAAGGCTGGCTGCTGAGGTTAAACCCTGCTGGTTTAGCTAGCTGCTCTCATATCAGAACCTTGTTCCTGATGCCCTCTTCTTTATCAGGTCTCTCCTCAAGGCACTTGCTTTAAAATAGCACTTAATGCGTGTGACGTTGTACCAACCTTCTGAGGTCATCGGGATTGACTAC